TACAGGATGTCTATTAGGAGGAATTGGTTTTGATAATTATAATAGTCGGTTGACTTATCGTTTTGTGGGATGTTTCTCTTTAGGATCAGCCATTATATACAAATGCATCACGACATTCATAGCTGGAGAAAAGTCTATAATAAAACGTATGATTTTTTCCTTACATTTCAGTGCTTAAATAACAATTATTTTATTAAAATGTTATAAATAATATTAAATAATTGTAACGAAAATCAGCAGCAGTTTTAGTTCTTGCGAAGTTTTTGATAAGCAGCATGTTGATAGACCTTATTAACAACCCATACGTTTATGTTAATTAATTTTATACAAAGTCTAAGACCTTTAATATATATATATATATATATATATATGAGGGCTATAAAACACGAAGCTCTAGACATAAACTAAACACAGATTGCCTTTATAAAAACAGTAATGATGATCTTAATTTCCAAACAAATGATATTGAATCATGATGAAATGTCATTTTCTAATGAAATTTCGCTCAGAATTGAGAGTAGTTTTGAATTATTTTCTCATTAATGTCTCTTTGAAGTAAATATAAACAATGTTTTGCAATGTTGTTAATTTATTGATTTTATTACCAATCTGCAAAAATTATCTTAAAAATTGTAGATAAGTGCAATGAACATCAACTCAAATTATTAGAAACAGTTTAAAATCCTTTTCCTACTTCCACTTTTTACATACGTTTCCATGTCTTATACATCTGTCTGTTCCATACTCTTCCACTTCTATATATTTTCTTATGTTCCACACACTTCCATCATTTCCTCATCTTGTTTTATATTTTTCCACCTGTTCTACACATTTTTATCTTTTCCATACTTTAAACTCCTTTCTACCTATTTCATTCTCTTTCATCCTTCCGTCAAACTGTAAAGTAGTTCATTGGAAGGGGTACTGACTCAATAGGTTATAAAAACCCATACTTTAATTTTATTCCTTACAATTAATTAATATGATATCAGATTATTATAGATACTGTTGAAAATTATATAAATTTAGCAATAACTTTGTTTTAGAAATTTCATGAAATTTGAGGCTTATTATACGACAGAGTGGAAACAAATACAGTATTAGTGTAAAAATTTAAGAAATAACGTAAAAATTATTATATGTCAAATAAATTTATACTAATTACAACACTTAAAAATGCATATTACAATTTCTAATTTTTGTCAAACAGAAATAATTTTGGATAATTATTTCTATGTCACTGACGAGTGAGTCATAAGTCATTTACTATAAAATTCTGTATTGAATGTACGGTATCAACTAACAACTGAATTGGAGAAAACTGAATGATCCAAAATAGACATATAAAATGGGGCAAACATAATAATTCAAAATAGCAAACAAAAATGAAGCAGCCAACTTTCCAAAATGCTAAGATTCGTTCAATAAGAGTGCTATTTCATGTAAAAACGTAACAAAGAACTAATAATCTTTCTATAAGATTCCCATTGACCGTTGGGAATGCGAAGAAATATAATGTAACAGGAACAAACACAGTGAAATTTTAAACAGTGGATTCGCTTTCAGTTAAATAATTCTGCGCCAAGTAAATTCGCAGGGTAATAATTAACTTGTTATAAAATAAATTAAAACAAGAAAGAAGAAATTAGTAAATTTAATGCGCTGGGTTTTATCCATTTTTTATATAGGAAAAATATCACTTAAAGGTGTTTCATGAAATCCAGATACATAAATAAGATATTACATTAAAATAGAAAGCGTGTGTTATAATTTTATTGTCTGATCAGATTCCACCAAAATGGATTCTACTTAATATAAACGAAAACCTCCATTTTGAGTTGTTTTTCTTAAGATTTTGCAATTTTCTAATGAAATTCCAATTATTACAGTTTGAAATATTTAAAGAAAAGGTTCCAGAGAGTTACTTTTAAACATTTAATAACTGAAATCTCTTTTAAAAAAGGCAAAAAAGAACAAAAATGATCTGCTTTAAAGGATTTATTCATATGAATGACGCCATTAATTTACAGAAATGGATCTAAAAAACTTTACATATTTAAAAAAAAAGGTTCCAGAGCGTTACTTTTAAACATTTAATAACTGAAATCTCTTTTAAAAAAGGCAAGAAAGAACAAAAATGATCTGCCTTAAAGGATTTATTCATATGAATGACGCCATTCATTTACAGAAATGGATCTAAAAAACTTTACATATTTATTATTTATTTTATTTAAAAGTATTTTTATATAAAATTAATTATAATAAACTTTCTTATAGAGAGAATAAGTGTAACAGAAGTTGAGAAACCGAAGCTAGAAGATCCCAGTCAATAGATATTATTTAAAAACATTAATTAAATGTATATCCCATTAAAATATGAAAATTTATGAAAAATAAATAAATTGATTAATATATTAATGAAAAGTTTGTATAATATATATAATAATTTATTCTAGAATAAAATTTATAGTATATTAAGGATAAGCATTTTAAAAATATTGTTAATTATTTGACAAACTTATGAATTGTCACCAATATAAATTCTTGTAAGAAAGACTATCTTTACAGCCTGAATTTATTAATTATTAATGTAATAAAATATCACAGACATTAACTGTTGTTCTGTCTCTCAAAATATACCTTTTAACTGTATTATTTCACACGGTTATGACTAAAATAAACTAGAATACTTTAATACAAATCTTTATAATTGAAAATTTGAATAATGATGTTTATGAAACGGGCGGTCATAAAGATTTTAAAAATATTGTTAATTATTTGACAAACTTATGAATTGTCACCAATATAAATTCTTGTAAGAAAGAATATCTTTACAGCCTGAATTTATTAATTATTAATATAATAAAATATCACAGACATTAACTGTTGTTCTGTCTCTCAAAATATACCTTTTAACTGTATTATTTCACACGGTTATGACTAAAATAAACTAGAATACTTTAATACAAATCTTTATAATGGAAAATTTGAATAATGATGTTTATGAAACGGCAGTCATACCCAGTGAATCTATTATAATTGTATAGTAAATACGTTTAAAAAAATCCAGCAACGAGTTGCGTAGCTTTCCCGGCATTAATTGGTGGCGCCATCTGTTATGATATTTTATGTAAAAACTTTTTATATTTTTAACTATTATAATATAGCAAAAATCTTAATTTTGAGGGTAGAGATGGGTTTTATAAAACATTGTAAATGCTAATAACGAGTAAAATCGTCATTAGGTTCGATCCTACTAGACATACACACGACCCCATTTATCTCCCCATCCCCTCGATCTTTAACCATTAAAATTTAACGGTATCAATTCCCTTACTACACAAGCCTTTCTGCAAGATTTCACAAAATTTTGACAAAAATCACAGGAGTTATTAAGCTTCAAATAAAATGAACAAAATCGTGCTTTTTCCACATACATATTCAATACATTAACATGACAGATGAAAAATCACAACTGTTGTTAATTTATCATATTGTTTAATAATTTAAATTTAAACGCTACCAAATAATTAAGCAATTTAATTAAGAAGTGAAGAGTGTCTCAAAGAAATGATGGCTGTGGATCATGAGTTTTTCTCCGATTTTCTGGGATGAAGTGAATTTGATACCTTAGTTGTAATAATTTTTATTACAGTATATTACAATAAGCATTATAGTAGTTTTAATTTATTAAATTATTCATTATTGTGTTCTAATCATTAAATAATTAAGAATGATCATCAAAAGATTACGTGCAACTCTTCTACTGCTTCAATTCTGATTATGGAGCATTTTCAAATGACGTAACAAAGTCTCACGTGTTTGTATTCCGTAAGCCGCCATATTAGAGCCGTTCGTACAGTGAGGCGTGTACTCAGTAGGATGCAATTCAAATTCTGTAACGCAAAATGGAGTGTTATTCTACAGAATTCCTGCAATTCTACAACACGAAGGACATCAGACTTCTCAGAACTCTCTAAACGACTACAAATTTACAGGTAATTTAAGTGTACAGATTGATCATTTAATTTTATTGCCATTTGAGAGAGTTAATTCTGTGGATCTTATCAGTTTCCTGGGTTTTTTTTTTACTAATCCATTCTATTCTACTGTAATCCCTTTTCGTTATTCCTAACATAAAGTTACATATAGGGGAGACCGGGACAAGATCGGCATGTTAAGCTTTACTTAAATTTTGTGTAATAAATACTGCTGTAAACTGAAAAAAAAGCTTTGCATATTGTCTATTGGAATGTTACCTTACTATAGAACTGGTTAAAATCAGTTTGGAAATAAAAATAATTAAAATAATTACAACTTTACAAGAAGAGAGAAATTGACGAAGTTGCCCCGGGTATAGGGGCAAGATCGGCAACTTCTCTCTTTTTGTAAAGTTGTAATTATTTTAATTATTTTTATTAAAGTTGCCCCTGGTATAGGGGCAACAGTAATGGGGCAAGATAGGCACGTATATAAAATTATGTTATTAACAATGTATAAGTTGGAATTCACTATTAAAACAAAGAAATACAAATCCAACACCCATTTAATATTATTACAACGAAATGCAAGTTCAAAGACATATATACATGAATAACAAATGCAAACATGTTTTCATTTATCATCTGTTTGATTTTTATCCTTTGCTTCTAATGTGGCTTTATGTTGCCGATCTTACCCCGCTAGTCATGATTTCGAAACATTAAGTACAACCCTGAGAACAGAATGCCAAGCCACGATCTGGCCACGTGAATAAGTTGAAGTTACATCCTTCTAACAGGAAAAGTAACTTTCGTTATCATGGAATTATAACAAAACCTGCCAATTCAATATAAATGGAAAAAAAATATTATATGGAATTGAACGAAAATGAAAATTTGCTTGATAATTCAACTACGCTTGTTGGAGAACAATAAAAACACTACACTCAACAAGCCACCAATAAAACTCAACTGCCTAACCTATAACCAAAGACTCCTTTTAAGTTGTTTTTAAAAAAAAGCGCTTGACAAACTTGCCCCGCATGCCGAAGTTGCCCCGGTCTCCCCTATATAAGCTTATATGCAATACTCTTAACATTTACGAAGTCGTTGAGGATGATTCTTTCTACTATTTTGATCTCACTATCGTTTTTATATTGATTTAAACAGTTTAAATTGTTTAAGATGAAAATAATGCAATGACTTAAACTAAAATTTTCTTAATACCTGTAGTATTACTTCCAGTTGAAGCCACACACTGATATTAAAAAAGGGTTTTCAGGAGAAGATTGGATGATAATTATAGATAAATGCAATTTTTAGAAAGGTATTTAAACGTAGAAAGATTAATAATTTATTTAAAATAAAGTGTAGTGAGTGTAAAATATAAAATAAACATTGTACACTTTTCATTCCACACACTTATGAAGCGTGAAAAAGAAGCGTAACTTGGAATTTAAGCATCCCTACAGAATAGAATATTTCTTTACATTAGCATTTTTTAAATTTTATTTTACACATTAACATTATTTTCATTAACAATACTTTATATTAGAATATTCATGAGCATAAAAATAATTTTGGTAATATAATAAAATTAATTTTAGATGTTTTCATTATTTCCTTTATACAGGGTGGTAACAAGTCTCTATGCACCTATTTCTAATTGTAATTTCTATCTCGATTGAAAATACTACAAAGTTGTAGCACATGAAAAAATGGGTACTATAGCCTTTTAGTGCATTCAGAAATATCAAGTGGAACAGGTTGTCAAATGTAATGTGTAAATGCTCCCCTTGCGGTGACGTCCCCCTGCAGTGTCTTGTAGATATTTCAGAGGACATGGTTGATTGTGCAGTTAATTTAGGTTAGAATTTCATGCAAAGGGCCCAGAGTACATCCCTTTTTCTTCTGTGATTTCATTAAAGGTCTAGTGTTCAGTCCACCCTTGCCTGAAACCTCTCTGACCTCAAAACTCGAATCTGTATACTGCTGTCTCCAAAATGGCAATAAATTGAATTCGGGATCCTGTTGCATAAAACGCTTGTAATTGTTACAAGTTTTACAAAGTTACAAATTACAAGCTACAAGTATTTATAAGACTTGTAATCTTTATGTAACAGGGTCCTGATGGGGATGTCTGGTGTCACTGACGCCCACAAAACTGACTCTTCGAGGTAATACTCGATGTGTCTTGCTATAAATTAACACCTTGATCGATTCTGCAGTTCTTCTGTTGAGTATTTACTAAAATGATATCAACACAATATAAAATTTATTTTGTTTTCATATATTGAATAAAAAAAATATATAATTTACATTGGAAAAATAAAGAGTTTTAAATATTCCTTTCAGTAATTGACTCTTCCATCATTGTCTTTTCGATATTCACTTCTTCTTTTTTATCTGTTTCTAAATAATTTTATAGAAAAATTAGTTTTATAAATTACTTAATATAAATAATTTTACAAGCTTACTAAAATATGTATAAAATATGAAAAATATTTTTACTTTGATCCTCCTCAAATTGGAAAGCAGGATGTGGTATTGTTCGTGCTAAACATCATTACGTACAGGTTCATATTATCGGGAAGAAAATTGAGTCTAATAATTGTATATTTTATATATCACCTGACAAAAAATCACTTATTGTAAGTATAATTAAAAACGATTTGGAATTATTAAAGGCCCATTATTAGCCGAATGTTTAAAACCATTGAACATTGGTAATTGGTGCAGAATTCGCGCCTAAGCAGGATTTTCCAAATTTACTTTGCAAGTCTACACCTAATTACGACAAGTTTCCCATAGAAAGTCCTTCTGGGAGGCACTCACCCTGTCGATAGAACGGCCTTGTGTTGCATTACCTTTTTTTCTAATGGTGGCACCCCTGAATTTGGCAAATTCTTCTGCGGCAGTCCTACCTGTTTATCAATGTAGAGTTACAGATATTTTCATACTTTTAGTTATGGCATTGCTCAGAACTATAATTTGCAACATCCCTAAAATGTTGTTGTGGCACTCTAGTGGGCCGTGTCACTCCTGTTGAAAACCATTGCATTACCAGGCATCACTTTAGGCTCACAGTGCACACTGTGTATGTCTGACGATTAATATTAAACGGTGTTTAACTGTCAGTATTGAAACATATATGGAGAAGTCTTTCGTTTTTAGTATTGTACTACTGTATTTTTATATCATACGAAACCATTTGAAAGACAATTAAGACAATACACAAATTATTCAATTCTCGTATTGAGACAATACATAAATTATTCAATTCTCGTATATATGTTTTATTGTGTATATTAATACGACTTTTTATACTGATGTGTTTATTGAAACGTAAAAAAAATGCATACCTTTTACCATAGAAGCTTCTCCTCCTATAAATTTCGTTATTAATTTGTATACGATGGCAGTTCCTATGGCAAAATAACCTACAAAACGATAAGTGAAACGAGCACCGTATTTGTCAAAACCGATTCCACCAAATAAACTTCCTGTGCCTATCCCTAAAACACAAGATACACAAGCAATAAAAGAATTCATTTTTAAACAAACAGAATTGTACATTCAAAAAAACTTAGATAAAAGTTTTTCAGCTTTAAGTTTTTCACATAAAAATTTCATTTTTTTAATACTTTCTTTATGTCATATCCATTTTAAGTATCTCCGAGGTTACACACACATATACACAAATACCCATATACATGGCAGAACACAGACACATGCAACACATAATACACATCGCATACAATACAAACTACACCAAAAAACACACACATACACAACATACTCACACAAAAGTATAATAAAGAAACGTGTCCTTCGAAAACGTGAAATTAAAAAGAATCTTATCCAAGTTTTTTGAATTTAAACAAAAATAAAATTTACTGCAAATTTATATCATTCTTACCTAAACCATGAAATGCGGCTCCCATGACAGTTTGCATAGTGGCTTCTGTCCCCTCTACAGCTACAAGTTTACCATAAGATGTCATCGCTGCATAAAATAAACCATAAGATGGTCCTTGAACCAAGTAAGGCAATATAATCAACCAAGGTTCGTAGATGTAAGAAGCAGTTAAAAACCATATAGAAAAGGTAACAAATGCCAAAGACATGCTGTTATCTCTTCCAATTCTTTTGATGATCCAACCAGAAATAAACATAAATGGAATATCACCAAAAAAACAAAGAATTGCCGAACTTATACCCATTAATATCTTACTACCTCCAAGTTCTTCTAAATACCAAAATGAATAGTTCCATTGTAAACCAGAGAATGCTCCTACAAGAAACACAGCTGTGATGAAGAAGAATGGATGAGGTTTTACGAATATTTTTGAAATATCCTTTAATAAATTATTCGATGTCTTTTCTTTTCTCATGTTTGTAAATTTCAGTGTAATAATATCAAATATCATCAAAGGTAACATTATATAGAAACATACAGAAAAATCAGTTTTTCTTTTGTTCTTGATATTTACAGCTTCTACAATGTATCCTGTAAACATAGATGCAACTCCCCATCCAAAAGAAAGCCATAATCTTTGTTTACCAAACTGATTAACTCTTCCTTCGAGAGATTCGTAACAAGCAGCATCTGATAATGCTATAATTACATCAGTAATAATAACTGCAGATGATGATAATAGAACAAAAAGCCAGAATTGATAATAAAGAAACGAATTTATTTCTTCTTCCAACAAACAGCTAATATTATATTTATCATTCAGTTGTTTAAAACAAAGATTCATTGTTATATTATCCTCTAATGTCATATTCGTCACTCGTAATACAGTAGAGCTATTTAGATATGATTTACTTGTTATATTAAATGATTTTTGGCACAATTCTTCACTTATATTGCAAGTTTTATATTCTATTTTACACTTTAATAACTCGTTATCCGGATTCTTTGTCGTAAATTGTGAAGATTCGATGAAAATAGAAGACGTATTATCATCATCACCAAAATGAAATTTAACATCGTTAAAAATATATTTTTCTTTTGAAATTTCTGGGATATAAATAATAGAAAAATAAATTGGTGTATGTAGTATTGTTAAAAACATAATTATGAATTTAATTTTCTTGAATTTATCAGTGATACATCCGAATAATGGATTGATTAGTGTAGTGACGAAGGGAACAACTGTGAACATTACACCCAATCCTGTAGCACTTATTCCAATGTTTTTGGCTATTAGTGGAAAATAAATCAATGCTGATCCTATTGCTAAAAAAATAGAAAGAAAAATAATATATGTTTATAAAAATGGAACATGTTACTTTATATTGATTTTATATTTAAATTACCTAACGAATAGAATAAATAATGGAGTTTCATTGGTAACAATTTCTTGTTGATAGTCCACTTTTGGCAGATCATCTTCGTAATTTCTCTATGAAAATAATATATAAGAAATATAAAATAAGGTATTGTACAGACAATACTTAACTTTCAGATTGTTTTTTCTTACGTACACGATACGTTAATACCTTAAAATATTTACGAACGGATGATCAATGGCTGTTAAAGCTTTAGCTTTCCACTCTTGAGAGAATGGCCGAGTGGACCATTGAAGCTAATCGTGGGTACCACGTGTTAGGGGCCATTTTTCCATAGAGTGTTCTTACAGGAAGTATCTCCTCTTGGCTGATTGTTCATACGTACGGTTTCGTTTGTTTGCTACGTGTTTAGATCTTAAAAAGGGGCTACACGAGTGTTATATTGTGTTATAGTACAACTCCCGCATATGGCTTAAGGGTGATCAAGGAGGATTATTTCATTGCACACGTTAAATACCTCCCTCCCAGAGCAAAACACTGACACCATAATCGCCTCGTTCATCCGGCCGTTTGTATAAATGTTACAATAAATAACATATTTGATTTAATTTAGGCATATCTTTACTCTAAATATATATCAAATACTCATAAGCAACGCGTAAACATATGCACGTTTGAGTATATGTGCGTGTGTGTATCGACACACGTGCGTGTGCTTGGCAGCCATATTGTCTAAAACGTAGATTCTTAGCGTTAGTCAATTAATTATACCTAATTATATTTTAATTACTTATTTAATTACTCTTTTCATTATAATTTATAAAAAGACTCATTAATTAATTAATCAATGACTAGAAATAAATTTTAAAAGTTTTATTTGTCTACTTACTAAATTTTCTGTGTGCTTTTTAAATGAAGATAGAAGTAAGGAAGAGAGATGTTTTGCTGATTTCAACTTTTAAACACTTGATTTAATGTTTATATTTAAGATATTAAACAGATAATAGACGAGTTATAAAGTAGATTTATTTACAATTAAGCTTATAAAGTGGAAAATATATTAAAGTGATATTTATATCCTCCAGTGTTAATTTAGTTGTCTTTTAAAGATAATTTATTAAATATACCTTCAATTGTTAAGTACTACAATTAGTAAAACGACTATATACTTCGACTAGACATGTTTTTACTACAGAGAACGTATGATAACACACATTAATATATCTTTCAATAAAATAAAATCTGTTCTATTTAATTTAAGTGGAGTTTTCTAAGTGTTCTTCACATATCTAACACCTAAATAGGGGGCTAGTTTCCCGTAAAAGCCTTTCACCTTGACAGATTGCACTTCCTTCTACCCTCAATCCAATCTAATCTGGCAAAGTGTCCTTGTATAATGCATGTACTGTTTAAAATATAAATTTCATATGATAATTTTGCTTCATAATGTTAGTATTATTTTATAACTAGCATCTAAATATTAATGTATTTTATTATTTCGAATAAAATTCGAATTATCCTATTGTAAGTGGTTTTATTCTTATACGTACACACAGTAGACTATGACAATCTTTCGTGTTAGACATAAGTAAACAAGGCAGCTTTTACTACATAAAATAAAATCTTGTTTTTATTATTAATGAACTTTAAATCACCTGCAAGTAGAAAGGTAATGCTGAGGGATAGGTTTAGCCTGTGCCTTCATCGACGTGCAAACAATTTCAGAACTAAATACGGAAAAGACCCATCTTCCTATAAGGTAACTCTAAACAATACATGTTTATGAAAGATAAAAGTGAGCAGCAATTATTTCCCACGTCAGATCATCAGTATTAGTGTTTATAAAGAAGATTCAACAATAACTGTAGGACTGTATACCAGTCGACCCCCCTATAACACTGTTGATTTTTCCGTTTTATATGAATTCCGTGTTGTACGAGTCACTTAGATTTTACAAATACGTGTACCGGGCTGTGAACGGCTCACATATTTGTAAAATCTAAGTGATTCGTACAACATGGAATCCATATAAAACGGAAAAATTAACAGTGTTATAGGGGGTCGACTGTATTCAAGACAACATAATACATTGGCGACCTGCAAAGAGGGGTGCATCCCGGAAGGATTTTTATGAGAAACTGGAGGAAAACTGGCTCCTATTAATGTGTTAAACACGTAAAGAAAACCCAGAAACCTCCACCTGGCAAGCTATTGGAGTGAGGTATGAACCCTCGACCAACTACCAGGGTTCAGTTTCTTTTTATCCATTCGGGCCACATAATAATAAATATCGATATTATAATGTTATATTAATTTTATCACACAATTATATTAATTATAAATCACTTTAAATTTTTTATGTTTTTATGGAGTATATCACGATAATTTTACCAGTAATTTTGTATTGATGATATAAAACATTTTACCCACTTCTATCATTCGATTTAAATTTTGTCGTTTGAAATATTTCTATAATTGAGGAAATTGTCATCAATGTATCTTTACATCTTCCTTAATACATTATATTTATCTTCCTGCTTAATCATTTTTTCTGGGGTTGTATACTTTTAGATAAAGTAGGAAGATCAATTAAAGTCTTCTTCAATTGGATATGTTTAGGTAATATGAATATATTAACATTTTATTTTATTAATTACTTAATTAATTTACTTAAATTCATAAATTTAATTTGTAAATATGTCATATAACCTTGACTTTATATTAAATTTGTAATTTATTAAAGGGCGAGTGAAGAGGTAAAGTTTCGAAGAACAAGCTGAGAAACAAAGATTAAAGGGGTGTTTAAGGGCAAATTGAGGGGCAAAGGGCAACAGTAAAGCATGTCGATCGATAAATTCGACACCTGCTTCTAAATCTAACCACTAAGATTATTAAATCACAAGGAAAAGTCAGCTTATTCGCAAATTTACGGAATTTACCCCCTGATCTCCACCCCAGAGTGACAGGTCGAAGGTAAACCTTGCAGCATCCATTCAGAAGGAAATAAATGTAAAAATTACTATTTTACTTACATTATATGCTGAAGTTCTGTTTAAATTGCTTGCATTCGTGTCGTTGATTGGTATTATACTGCGCTCACTCACGTGCTCCAACTGGTGGTAAATTTAAGTCAATTATAAAATGAATATTTATAACACAGTAGACCTTGTTTTATAATATGTTCTATCTTATCGTTTACTGAATGGATCGTAAAGTGTTTGTTGTAAAATCTAAAAGTGATCTTCAATAAATTCGTTGGTCACTTTGACCTTTACATTTGATAAATGACAATGAAATTTTTATTCTTCTTTCGATAAGTCGAGATTTGTTTAAATCAATAAAATGTTTATAAAATCAATTTATTTTGTTGATATAGTTCGAAGTTTACTGGTGGAAATTTTAAATTATATTAAATTTAATTTAGGGTGTAGGTGTTTAAAGTTCTCTGCAGCTGAATCAAATTTATCAGTAATATACATAGTGAGTCGCGTGTGCTGTTTTGATTTTTGGAAAAAAATTGCTGTTTTCTTAGCTATTTAATGTGCAAATTTTAAGCATAAAGTAATGGAAAATGTCCAAAATTCTTTTAAGGGTGCCAAGATGGCTTTAATTCTTCCCTGGATAGAAGAGTTTAACAAAGTGAGCACCATTAGTGTTTCCTGTGAAGAATGTTTTGCTTCTCCTTACATACTCAAAATTTCTTAGAAAACGTATTTAATACGAAGATTAAGAGTCTTCTTAATGTACTGTACATATTAAGCTAAAGCAGCGCCAAATTTGCCCTACTGGCTAAATTTTTACGTAAATTCGTTTTCCCAAAAACCGAAACTTTATCAGCAAATCATGTGATTTTCAATCTCTCAGATTCTCAGTGCCTAAATGTACAGATTTTCAGACTTTTCTTGTGTGTATAATACATAAATAGAGCCAATTGTAATGCACGTAGAAATGGCTCCTCAGAGGCATCTCCTCTTTGCAGGGTGCATTACAACAATAACTTAACATTCCTAATTATTGTTATTGCCTTTATCTACCCGTAGAAACAATCTCTTCTATCATTTCAGGGTGCACCCACAGATATGGACAGATACAAACTTACCTTTAATCATGAAATTTTCTCCTGCTACAAACACCGTAATGCATTTGTAAACTACAACTGAAGCTAAAGAAATATATCCCATAAAACGATATGTCAATCGGCCACCATAATTATCAAAACCAAAGCCTCCTAATAAACTTCCAGTGCCTACACCTGAAAATAATACCCGTACGTTATATAAAATTTAATAGAAGTAATGATAAGACTCAAACGAATATAAATGAATTAATACCTAAACCATGAAAAGCTGCTCCTAGCATGGTTTGCATGCTTGCCTCCGTTCCATCTGGAGCTATTATTTTTCCATATGAAGTCATCGTTGCATAAAACAGACCGTAAGTAGGACCCTGTACTAAATACGGTAATAAAATCAACCAAGGTTCGTAGATAAAAGAAATACCTAAAAACGAAATTGAAAACGCAATGAAAGCTAAACACATGCTGTTATCTCTTCCAATTCTTTTGATAATCCATCCAGAAACGAACATAAATGGAATATCACCACAAAAACATTGAATTGCTGTACTTATTCCCAATAATAACTTACTAGCACCAATTTCTTCCAAAAACCAATAAGCATAATTAGACTGTAAACTAGAGAATACACCCATAAGAAATACAGCTGTGATGAAGAAAATGGGATGAGGTTTTACGAATATTTTCTGAATATCTCTTAGTATATTACTCGAAGATTTTTCTTTTCTTATGTCTGTAAATTTCAATACAATAATGTCGCAGAGCATTAAAGGTAACATTATATAAGAACATATTGAAAAATCAGTTTTATCTGTGCTAACGTTTACGGCATCTACAATGGATCCCGTAGCCAAAGATAAAACTCCCCAACCAAGTGAAAGCCATAATCTTTGTTTGCCAAACTGATTAACACGTCCATTTAGAAATTCGTAACAAGCAGCATCTGTTAAAGATGTGATACCATTGGAGACAATAATAGATGTGATTGATAAAATTACAAATAACCAAAATTGGTAGTGATGAAATGAATTGATTACTCGATCTTCTATAGAACACGAGGCAATACAATCATCTTGTAATTCATTAAAACAGATAGAAGACGTACGATTATTATACTGGAAGGTGATGTTCTGTATTTCTAAGGCTTGTGTGTTATTAGAAAATTGTTTAGTGGTTAATTTATATACTTTTCGGCATGATATATCACTATTATTACAATATAAACATTCTACTTGACATTCATTCGTACTGTTCATTAGAAATTGAGACGTATTATATTTATTACAATGTAATTTTACATCAGAAAAGATGTGTTTTTCTTTTATGATTTCGGGAATGAAATTAATAAAAAATAAAGATGGTGTAATTAAAACAACAAGAAACATGATGATAAATTTAATTTCCTTGAATTTATCGGTAATGAAACCAAATATTGGGTTCATAAAAACGGTAATAAATGGAACTATCATAAACGTAACACCAAATCCTGTTGCACTAATTCCAATGTTTTTGGTAATTAGTGAAAGGTAATTTAAAATGGATGCCGCAGCTAAATAGAAACGAATACAAATTATTAAAAACATAGATAAAAAATGAGTTGATATTAATTAGAATGTGCACGAATTACCTAATGAATAGAAGAGGTAATGAAGTTTCATTGGTAGCATTTCCCTTTCGATAGTCAATTTTCTTATCTCCACGGATTGGTTCCTTGGTAAACGCCAAATACTAAATAAATAGATTACTGTAAAAGAAAAAGAATTAAAATTTAGTGAATATTTACATTGTCATTTTCTAAATTATTATATATAACAGAAGGAAAGTATGGCGATCGACAAAACCCTTTGAAGATCTTCACATTTTTGGATTCAGAAGACCTTGAAACGTCGAGAAGTACAAAACACTTTGGGACTCGATTTCAGCGAAATTTTTCATTATATTATAAATAAAATCTCTGTAATTGTTCCTTTAGACTTTCACAAACAGTGGATGAGTTTAAAGCTATTGTTTTTTTCATTAGAATGTGGCCACGTGGGGTGTGTTTCGGGTTTTCTTTTCCTCACACCTAAATAGGGATCAGTTTCTCATGCAATATTTTGTCTGGGAGGTATCTCTCCTTGACAGATTATCTATGTGTTGCCTGGCCGTATCCAAACAAACTAGCTCTGGGGGATCCTGGACTGAATCCATCGCAGCAACTCTTCAGAAATTAGATTAAAATATGTCGGGCCCTTCTTTCATCACCCGGTTGTTCTACTATGGGTCTAGAAGAACTCATAATGAGTATGCCTCATGTTGGAAAAGGCCTATTCCACAAAAGGGAAATAACCCGAAAACCCCTAAAAATCTTTTCGTGTTTCAAATTTGCACTTTGGTGCATTTTAAATCGGTACATAATTATTACAAAACTGTGGTGACTCTTTGTGTTTATATCAGTTTCAGCAACAGCAAAATTATGCTTTGCCGGGCTGTGAACGGCTCCCGTATTTGTAAAATCTAAGTGACTCGTACAACATGGAATTCATATAACACGGAATTATCTACAGTGTTATAGGTAAGTCTACTGTAATCTCTAAGTTAAATAATAGCAAAGGTAATTCTACTAATTAATTTATATCAATATATTATATTATAATAATGTAAAGACGTATAATCAGTGGCTAAGTGTCTATCAGTCTTACCAGTTTTCTTATATAGGCTCTACATATCAGTCTGTAGTAATAG